ATTATTATTTATTTTCTTTTCATTAACAAAGTTATAATAATAATATCAGGAATATGTAAAGAAAGTAAAAAAAAAGTATTCTACTGATCAAAATGAATACCACTGGATTGGAAAGAAAGGCTTGATCGGTCCATATTCAACCAAATGATAAATCAGCAAAACAATATGAATTTTTTTTTTTAACCCTGAAGGCTTTAGAATTTATAAACCACCTAAATACAGTTGCTTTTAAATATTAATACAGAGCTAATAACCCTAAAAATTATTTAACTATCATATAACACTATGGGCAGAAGTTTTCACCTGGCAGCAATTTTATTTAAATTGTAAAAAAGGGAACATAACTTTTACTAAAGGAAAAACAAATCTGCTATTGTTGCGCTAATCTCACTCAGAATATCTTTATTAACATCATCATATAAGCATAATGTAGAAGCTGAGTAGTCAGATGTAGACTTATTCAATGCAGGAATTTGGTCTGTATAGAATGTGACGTTTATTTTCATGTAGAGGTAAGTCTTTGTGAGTGCCAAATAATGTTGGAGATTGTTTAGGGATTATTTTGTAAATTAGACTTGAAAAAAAAACAAAAACAAAAAAAACAAACAGGCTAGATTAAACAAGAACTATGTGTATTTCTTTAAATATTTTCACCCATTTTTGCTTTCTACTGTGTGTAGGCAAGCTCACTTATCCATTTTGATATTCTGCTCCACCATCGAGTGAGTGCGTAAGTGCCGTTTCCACAGAGAAGGACGTAAGAGCGTGCTAGTGACTCATCGCTGTATCAACACAACAACTGTGGGGGAGTCGACCTTATCATGATGTCAATGTTGCTATGGAGACAGTGAGTCGGTAGGGAGGGGTTTAGGTAAAGCTGAGAAAAAGTAGAGGGACAGGTGATGAAGAGATGAAGACGTATGAAGCTAAAGGGGAAGGATCCTTCACCTTTGTCTTTTTCCTTTTAGCATAAATGTAAGCCTGTGCGCTTTGCTACTTAGCACATGCATGTATGTTCCTACCTATATGTTAAAAGAAATTAAACAATAACATTTTCAACAAAGGAGATCATGTTCAATTATTATTATTCATGGTTGCATGTTTTACTCACCGTCATAGCAAACCTGATCCCTTATGCAAAGCTCTCTTTCAAACAGGCAACCTGAGACAGAACAACACAGAAAAAAGCTGTCAGACCACTTGTTTTATGAAAACCATAATATACATTCATTTTAAAGGATAAGGAAATTACAAAAAAATAGATTATCAGAGTTTAAATAATTTCTCAGAAGCTTGCCAAAATCTAATCAATCAACCCTTTACCTTATTTCACTTTTTAAAATGAAATTCATACAATGATGACCCGTACAAGGCATGGGGACCAGCATATGGTGACACCTCTGAGCTAATTCTTCAGCTGTTAAACCATTTTGGATTGTAGTTTGGCGACTAAGACCTTGATATATTAGCAGTGTGAGAAGGAACAGGTGTTCAGAGAAAGATAGGGATATGTGGATAGGTCTGTCTGGCTTTGTGTCATTTCTCTTGCACAGCACACCTCAGTCTTTTTAGGTCAGAAAACCTACCTTTGAAAGAGAATTAAACATTAGTTAGATTGATTAAAATTGTCTGAATATGTATTGGAAGTTAAGATATATAAAAACCAAACTGAATATAACACATTAACAGTAGTCAAATTTTTTTCTGCCTCAATAAAATGATTATTGCAACTGTGACTTATATCCACCGAGCAAGAAACATTTAGCAAATATCTGGAATGTCTCCCAGACTAATCAAATGCTTATTTTAGTGTTGAGAATTTTGTGCGATTTCTCAGTCATATATAAATACATCTTACAAAATAAAATATCTATAATTTAAAAACACAACAGTGTGTATCGTCCCAATGCGCACTACCCTGTCAGCACGGCCTTTATTTCAGTGCTTAGAAAAAGATGAAAAAACAAACTCACGGGTGACTCATTTAGTTATTCAGCAATTTGGTAAAATGTCTCTGCTTGTCATCACACTCCGACTGATGTGAAGGAAATGGCTTCTGCTTTGATTTGTCAACAGGCAGCAAATGAAAACATGGAATCAGATTCCAACCACGTAAAAATAGTATTTTCCTGGCATTGAACACTCCAAAAAGCAAAACTTTAAACCAAAGCAAGTCACTTGAATAAATACTGAATGTCCTTATATAATGTGTCTTTATTGACACCTTGTATTTTTTTTCTCACTTCACTCACCTATTTAGACCTTAACTTGCACCTATTGAATAATGTGCTGGGCTTCTTTAACTTACTCTTACTAGTATAATGGATTATTATCCAAAATGTTCAAACTAGTACGCAGTTTGATGCTTTTATACTAGATACACAACAACTAGAGAAACCCAGCTGTTGACTACCACATAACCAGGTGCCATTTAATATCCTAAAATAAATGTCCTCTATATAACTGGCAATCTTATTTTTTAAGACAGGTAAGGTAAAGAAATGCTAACAAGTAGATGAATGTGTATTTTATGCTCTACAAGTTTTAAACAACAGTTTTAAACGTGAGCAATATGAGTTTTTTTCCTGAGCAGCTAAGCACTGGTGGTTTGTCTTGAGAAGCAAATAAAAAGCTTGCATAAGGGACACCTTTTCTATGTAATATTTGCCTGTCCAGTCAACAGCAAAGAGCATACATTGTTGTGTACACTGAGTAAACATTGAAAGATATTGCTGAAGAGTACAGGTGTCTGATGAAAACTACTTCAGTTCTTAGTTTAGGATCTAGTTTTAAATGAAAAGGCTCTAAATCCTTTAAACGTTGGGTTTCCTGTTGTCCTTTGTAACAGGAAGAATCCAAATTTAAGAAAGATTTGTGAAAAGAGAACTTTTATCCATCTTTGTTTGTCTGTGTAGTCATTAATATCATGTTAGGTCATATAAGGCTTACTTGGCAGAGGGGTTAGTTCAAGGAGTTGTGTGATTGATTGGGTCAATTTTAACTGTTGACCACTTGAATTTAATGTAGATTAAAAGGGCAGTCTAATAATATTTAGAATATGTGTTGTCTAGTTCAGTGTAAGGGTCTAAAACCAAGTAGTTCCCCTATATAAAAACAGTCACAGACTAAAATGGAGCCCAGTCATTTAAAGGCACATCAAAAAGCCTTTCAGGACTCTCACTCCTGTTTATTGTCTATAGTTTACAAAAAAAAAGGGTTACAAGACACAGTATGTTTGTCTACTGAATGGAAATCCTTTAGGAGAGGGAGTAAATGTCAAATGAGCATTTTACCATTTTAAGTTGGTAATAAAACACACCAAAAATGCACCAAGGATAATGATTAATTACATAATCATATTGCCCTCCATACATACATAGACAGCAAGTAAGTTTATAGGCAGAATTTGTGCTGGCTGTTCCATAGTCAAGGATTGCAGTGCAAATTAGCAAAAAACAGTGTAACTATTATGAAAGTAATAAACCATTGCACAAAAAGCCTACTTCGTGTTACTAATGTTTGGTAACACTTTCGGCTTGGTTAAGGGGCCTTTGGTCCTAATTGTTGAACAATTCTGACACCAGATATGAAAACCAGAAGATTGTATTTACAAATTAAGAGGTGAAAGGAATGGTCATTATAAATATACGCAAGGCTTGACATAAAGCTTAAGCATAAAGTTGGCAAAGGTTCCATTTTATCACCGTAATCAAAGCTAACAATCATTATTAGTATTTTTTGTAGAACAGATACTATTGAACAAATCATTGCAATAGAAACCAAACATTTCAATCAACCTGGTGATTGTGGTCATCCAATGGCAGTGTTTTTTTCATGGCAACAAGACATTTGAGCCTAAGAGAAAAAAGGACACATGCACACAAAATAAAGAAACAAACAAACAAACAAAAAAAAGCTGCCAAGACGTCAACACAGACATGAGCATCATACCACTGCACATATGGGTGGATCAGACAAACAGTGGGATGGATTAGAAGGTGAAAAAACAGCAGTGGAAGGAAAGAGATGACAGTGGAAGCACAATTAGTGGTTTCTCTCCATGGTGCTGAAAACAACTCATCATTGTTCATCGTTCACTATTGCTCATCTCATTTTTCTTCTGTATTATTCTAAATGAATACAGGTGCATTTTACTTCCTTTGAAATAGCTCTCTGCAGTTTCCACTAACAGTCTCATACAGCAATAAAACATCATGCTGAAGAAATAAAGTATGTAAAATAACCATCAAATAATATATAATTAATATATTGTAGGAGAAAGTAGGCTGATGGTGGTGCTCTTTATGTTTTTAGAAGCTCAAATTACTCTTATGCTAAAGCCAAATAATCTTCACCCAGAACAAAGAACAAAAACAAGTATAAAACCTCATGTTGCACATGAAAGGTCAAATTCATCCATTAAATAGTATTAATCCACACCATTCAAAATCTGATTTAAGAACAGAAATTAACACGACTAAGCAAGACTGTGCTTGTTAATAACATCAACATGCCACTAAATACTGTGTCTTTTACAGTCTTTTCTATGGAGGGGAGTTAAATCCAAGACCGATCAGCAAACATATTTTAAACTGCAGTTGCACGCATCTCTTACTCAGTAAAGAATATCCTTCATTGTAAACTTAGAGTTATTCTACAAATATAGAAAACCCAGATCATAGTTTTCATGCAAGATACAGTGACTAAGTTTTTTTTTTTTATCTTATTTTATATATCAACATGTGATTTTACTGGTTTCTGCTGCCTTTGCATTTAGAGAATATGCTGTTAGGTCCCTCATCAGTAAACACAATTAAAGCAAAGCTAAAGTGTTAAGATCTGATTATATGACCTAACCTGTTCTTTTAGGATGTAAGAACATAAAATAACTTCTTGAATAGAATAAGGTTTTCTTCCCCCTTTCTCCCTGATCTTCCATTTCTTCCTTACCCCTGTTTAATCTGATTAGAGTCCTCTGTATTTATCCACAGAGGCAATCACTGAGTTCAATTTGGTAAATAAATCTTAACCTTCCTCCTGTAATCTACAAATGCATTTGAAACACTGAGTAAAGTAGGAGAAGCAGCACATTTCTTCAGTAAAACAGGTAGTTGTCTGTACACACTATTTAGAGTAAATGATGATAAGCAACTCCAGCACCTTACCGTATTTCTCAGGGACAGCTGGTTGGTAGAGCACCGCCAAAAGGAGCAGAGCTCGCCATGGCTTCAGATGTTGCATGATCCCCTAAAGCTTTACTGCAAAGGATTGATGGAGATAGAAGAGTTTTCCACCTGTTTTAAATCCCCATTATGTTCAGATCATGTAAAGCGAGGACAAGGGAAAACAAATCAGAAGGGACTAAGAATGATGGATGGATAGGGAAGAAGGAATCCTTCCGATGAAAAGGCGGGGCGTGAGGAGAGAAGGAGGGCGCAGGCCGTGGACGCACAGCGGCGCACAGACTCACGACAGCACCGCTGCGCAAACAGCCTGAAAACAGGGGAGTTCTCAGCAACAGAGGAAAGCTATACAGATGCGTCATCAAGGAAGAAAAAAGGGAGTGAAGCGGGAGGTGAAAAGAAAGCGTTAATTTAATATTCCTCCCATCCAGATACGTCATAAGTGCAGTTTCCTTTAAGCTGGACACGCGCAGAAAAACGTGGAGGCTTATTTTGCTTTCATCAGATGTGTTCAATATTGTATTGTAGCGCAAACCAAGCTCCTCTTTACTTTTTTCCACGGTTGTTTAGTTATTTAATTTATATCATTATTAAGCTATTAATAGCAATGCATTTTGCAAGGAAATTTAATTAAAGTTAAAATATTTGAGAAAAAATCATATTCTAATACAAACTCAGGTGTAAGAACACTGGGAACCAGTTTCTTTGACATTACATTCTTGGTCCCTGAGGTCATAACAGTCGTAGTTCCTGTTAAGAGTCAATCGTGCTGCAGGTTTGGATCCTAAAACGCTAATGAAATCAAAATAAAGAATTAACCTGTTACAGTAGATCTGTACACAAAGTTACAAAATCAAAAGCCAGCTTGTGCTTTAAAGTTCGTATTGCTGTCCTCTCACGCCCTCTAGTGTTTCTTAGATCTGTTATATTTCTATATCCTGTTTTCAGCAGATAAAAAACACAATATAAATTCGAAACATACTGGTAAACAACGTGCATGCTGGTTGGTTAGGATATCTGAAGAGTTATTAAAAAAAAAAAACAGGGCAAGGGATTCAAATATATTCAGATAGCTCTATGAAGTGAAATTCTATGTCTTATCAGGTCAAAATAGATGCATAATTTAGGAATTTTACATATTTTTGACTTAACTCGAGTTAAAATTACCGTTTTCTATAAAATATGAATTAGAATTCAAGAAGAACTGATAAGTTCAGCTGTAAATTTTTTTGTATTGTTTTAAAAAAACGTTTAGCAGATAAAAAACTGGGATCCTGTCTCAATACCACTGAAGCTATCGACTTATTGTTTTTAAATAATTAATAAAACAGAATTTGAAAAATAAATAAATAGATCCAAAGGACCTATCAGTAACCATGTCTGTTCCAGCACATATCATTGAGTGTTATGATCTACAGGGGCCATAACAGGGGACAGGACATCATGTACAGGGGCTCTGGCCCCTGGTGACCCCTGTCTAACCACCTATGAAAAAGAGTATATTTAGCCTTAATTTGATTAGGAAAATAAGATGATTTGCCAATGCAATGAGTATATTTACCCTTGAAATAAGATAATTAGATATTATGCACTTGAAATAAGTGACTGCAGTATTTTTTCCTTATTTTAAATGTAAATGGCCTTTTTCCATTGTTAAAGTCTCTCAGTTACTTGTTTAATAAAAAAATGAGTTAAGAAAAAACTGGATTACCTAGATATACATTTTTTGCAGTGTTGATTATTTACATATTATTTTATTATGTCAATTTTTGTAAATATGAAACAGCACAAACATTCCCAGTAATACATGCTTTTTATTTCAACCCGCAAACCAGTGTATAAAAAAAGAGGCAGTAATAGCAACATCATTTCAAAAGTAGGTATTGTCTTCCCATATTTTACTAAGATATTGTACACTAAAAGCAATTTAAAGAAAATGTTTATATTTGTTATCAGAACTGCAAGACAGGCTGTTTTATTCTTGATGTTAAACAATTAGACCATACCAGAATAGTTTAAAATCTCCACAAGATATACAAGATATACAAGAGTCTATAATATATATTCCACATTTTTAAAATGACATATGTCTTATAGAATTTAAAATTCAATTCAAATGTAAAATAAAAAAGAATAAAAAAACATGAAATCTTTTATGGAAAAACAAGACCTTTGGTGACCTGTCTGAATAAATATGCGCACCCTTATACTGATACTCTCTTGTGACATTTGATTTATCATCAGCATTTATTCCTCTTGGACTGGATTCTGTCAGCAGCTTTAATACGCATTTGCCCACCATGTTATGACATAGTGTTGCTTGTCCACATTTCTTGTTAGGCAAACCTGGCATTATAGTTCTGAAAACTTTTACATTTTGTAGATGCAAACCTTCTGTTTTTGATTTGGTTGTATTGCTGGATTGATGCAAATGGTGAAAAATAATTTTCTCAGCTTCATTGTCCTGAAGAAACAAGATTGTTTGGTTTTAGGAAGGACTTTGACAAATATTTCATTCTAGACATCAATTTAATCATCTTGAAAAAAGTGTGATTCAATTTAAAGAGTTACTTTAATGCTGGATATTTCAACTGTTTGTTTTATTTCACGTAACCATATTGTAATTTTACTACCAGCCTGTTGTTTAACCTGGCCCAGAAGGTTCTTACTGTACGTACTTGTCTCATTACTTATGGATAAAAATTCCAGTTTTAAATAATGTCACAATTGTTCCATTATCTCTTCAATGAACACCAGACCTACAAGTTAACCAGCATTTATTCATTTATTACTCTTTTATATACTGTATATTAGGAAAACAGAAGTTGATAATACTTTTTCATAAAAGGCCCTAAAAGCTATAAAATAAAGAATTTTAGTAAATGGAAAATGAGTGTTGCTCCGCTGCTACCTAACAAGAAATTGGTCCATGTTGCAGATTTTGCTTGAAAAGATGTTTTAAACCAGTTTTTTAGGGTGAGAATTTAATTTTAGTCCATGCGTTACTTAAAATAACAAACCAAAAAAAGCAAAAGAAATTTATGAGGAAACTCGGCCAGTGCAGTTTAAGTGCAGGGATTTTAATATTTTACTAGCATACCTCAAAATGATGAAATAAAAACATGTGGTCATTATCTTATTGTGTTTATTGTAGACTTCTTTTATCACTCCTACAAGTACATTTTTCATTTAAACCATAATATCAGCAAAACATAGCCAGAAAAGCATCCGAAAAACAGATTTAACATTATATTTCTGCTTGTTATGTCCGATCTTGTTTGCATTATTCAAATTTTCATTTTTTTTTTTCGGTTTTTTTTCAATTCTAAATGTTTTTAGAATACAGCTGTATGTTGGATTGTTCCGTGAAAAACTGCACTATATCAATTCTATTCTCTTTATTTAAAACACCGTTATGTTGCAGCACTTTGATATCACATCTTTCCAAAGATAGACCAGTTAAATCATCAAGTGGCTTCTCCTAATATTTTTTCATGATCGAACGGGAATTTTGCATTGCACACATGCAGGCAATCACCATATCATGGTTGTGACAGAGACACACAATCACAGTATTTCTCTCTCATCTTTTTTTTCTCCCGGTTTCATCATGAGGTCAATTTTGTCTGGCAGCTCAACTCTGGTATGTGTGTATGCATGTTGGTTGTGTTGCCGGGCAACAACCCTTCTGTCCATGTTAATGACGAAACCACCAGCTTCCTCTTTACCAATGAGTAGTCTTTGCGTCTTATTTGTGAGCATTTTCTCTAAACCCTGTAGCTGCTGAATATAGAAACTCACATAGTTTATTAAGGATGTGTATCTGTAATGATATTATCTATTATACATTTACCCTTTAGTTGGCTGAATAAAGATAAACGTCTCTATGATGCATTTTGCTCATAAACATACTCAAAAGGATTTTTCAAGGTCAGTCTTTGAGAAAAGTACCAATGAAGCAATTCACCATCTTGTCTTTCACACCTCATGACATTTTAGGTACTTAACAGGAACCTATAAATTATAAAGCCTGTTGTGGTTTTTGGACTACAACTATAGGGTACATTATTACTTGACATCAAGGTTTATATCAAGCGTTACATAAAAAATTGTGCCATCTTGTAACCCAGATTTGCATGTAATATTAAAAAGAGTACCTCGATTCTTCAGGGTAAATCTGCTGCTATTTTTATACTGAATCTTATCTCAAAACGACAATCATGTCATGTATTTTAGGTTTAGTATCTGACTGTCATGTGCTGATAGTTTTTCTGAGACTGGTTTCCCGTCTGGGTCTGCGTGATAACTGTTTCAGCAGTCACTCTAGGATTAGGGTGCTTGCTAATTTTAGAGTGTCTTTTTCTGGGCTACAGTTCAGAGTTGTTTGGTTCTGTGGATGTTAGGCAACCAGTCGCTGGCTCACTTTCTGTCTAAGGTTATGATGTAGTTTTCAACTGGAAATCACATGGATGTCCATCCATCTAATTTTAAGGGGTTTATCTCACAGTTAAACATCATCCTGCACAAATAGAATATTTACTCAGCTCTGTCAGTAAAAATCCAGCACAGTCCCTGTGAAGCAAATACCAATGCAAATAGAACTTGTGCTAAATCATATGGCATCAACGACTTCAAAATTTCTGCCATTTAATATGATATATATTTTGATGAATCTGGTTCTGTCTCTAAATCAATATTTCTGCTTTTTGTATCTATACAAAAATGCATATTGGTAATTCTAGATTATTATCTTGCTGAATGATCCAGTTATTGAGCAATTTTCCTTTTTAAGTTAGAGAATGTCAGATGTTTATTTGAAGTCTTTTGATACTTCAGAGATTTGATGATAGAAGGCATTCTCAGGCTAACCAGAACAATTGATGACACCACAGCGTCAAAAGTTCTACACAATATAAGTGCTCTAGAATACGGTAATGTTTTTTTCCACATTCTCATTGGCTCTCTCACAGTGCTTGTTTCCAAAGATAGTACACTTAAAGTCTGCATATTTTCTGCAAGAGCAGAGAAAATGTGGTATTTTGTTTCAGGTGGGAGGAACGAGAAATTCAGGAAAAGAAATAAGAAGTTCTTCTTGGTCAGGACAAAAAAAAAATTTCTTTTCTGATGCAAAGATTGGCTCGGAGATAATAGAAGGGGCTGTGCCAATCAGTTTTTTTCACTGCTTCAGGTTTGCATGATTTTAGATTGGTTGCAAAACATACTGACCCACATTTGTTTCTGAACACATCATGTTATTGAATATGCATGCTATTTTGTGAAATAGGTGTTGTTTTTTGGCATTTATCTGTTGACAGAGTCAATTT